CCCATCGAAACCCTCCAGGGTCTTACACCTAGTGCCACGGAACCCCCACGTGGTCTTAACTACCTGCCATGGGAACCCCACATGGTCTTCCTGCCATGGAACCCCCCCATGGTCTTCACTACCAAGCAATATCATACAAACTAAACATGCAAATATACTACGATGCCATGGAAACCCTCCAAGGTCTTACACCAAATGCCACGGGATCCCCCACATGGTCTCAGTCTACTGCCACGGGAACCCCATGGGGTCTTTCGTACAAATGTCATACTAACATAACGCATAATCAATCGACAATCCACATATCATAAAATGAGCCGACCTTGGTTCCGTAGACTCATTGGTATGGTGAGAAGACTCACCTCTCGCGAATGCTGGACTAACAAGATAAAATTGGATAAGTTCCATGCCATGCTCCAACTCAACTGCCTATAATCATCATGTGATTAACTTGTCACAATCCCGAAATACCATAAACGCCCTAAAAGTCAACCCTGGTCAACCCTTGTCAAAGTCAAAGTCAACTGTCAAGGTCAACAGTCAATGTTGACCTGAATTCGTCGAGTGCATCCAACAACTCGTCGAGTCCTTGTCCTTCCTGAATCTCGAGTCAACTCGTTGATCACCTAAGTGACTCGTCGAGTTCATCAAATGTCCAGAAGACCAAAAGTTCATGCAGACCAAAACTCTAATGCTTCACTGAACTCACTCAGAATCTCGAAAACAGGTAAACCCTACCCGTCTCGTCGAGTTGGCTAAGGGACTCGACAAGTTCCTTCAGTCCTTTTTGTGTTCAGTCCTTTCCAGTGGGATCCAAGGTCCCAAACTTCATATCCAACTTCTCCAAATGTAGTTACCACATAAAGTTGCAAACTTTACGTGCATGCAAGACCTCACAAGGCTAAAACACTAAACTAAGGTTCCTACAAGGTTTTAGTGCATGGAAAGGGCCTAAGTTGGATAAAATGAGCAACTTTATGTCATTGAGGACCTAGAGATGTCCAGATCTGGAACCATATCCTTCTGATAAGTCCAAATCCGAGTATGACACCCTTTTTGGCACCAAAAGTGACTATTTACATCCAAGAAAAGAGATCTAAGCAACTAAAGATCAAGATAGTGACTTTATACTTGAAGATGGTTGCTAATACAGAGTAGATGTCGGATCTACTGCTTCTCTCCTTGCTCCTTCTTCAAGCTCCAAAATCCTTCACAACCACACCAAAATCACTCTCAAAAGTTCTCTCTCTCACTCAAGAAGGTGCAAGGGCTCAAACTAGGGTTTCTCTGGCTGTAGGAACAATGGAAGAGCTGCAAATGAGCCATAAGTTCTTTAAATAGGGTACAAACCCTAAAAATTAGGGTTTCTCTTTACAGTGCCTACTCGTTGAGTCAGGCCTTCCGACTTGTCGAGTAGATCTGAAGTCCCATATCCTCATAATAACCTCTACTTAACGAGTTAGAGCTCCCCAACTCGTCGAGTTCCAACACAAAACCCTAAAACTTATAAAAATAAATAATACTTGGAATAGGTGTTACAACATGGCGGCAAGGCCAAGCCTCAAGCTTAACGAGCCATGGCGAGTCATGGTATTTTTCAAGGCGTGATGTAAGGCGGCGATTTTGTATTAATTTATAATTATATTACCACATAAATATAGATTTATATCAGATATATTAAGTTTTTAGAAGTGGTATATTAACAACTAATAACAAAAAGTTAACAAAAAACACAATACTTGTATGTCCAATTAGAAAAGGCATAAAAAAGAGAAAAAAATGTGTCTCAAACGAAAAAACACGCGCCATAACACGCCATGGCACGTCATATCATGCCTTGTCACGTGCCACGCTTAACAGCAATATTATGAGGCTTTTAGTAACTGCGAAGTGGTGCCATGACACGCCTTTTAGAACACTCGTTAGGAGTCAAGATCCTGAACCCTATCTACGATCATGGATCTTAAATGTTTTAAGGATCTCGAAACATACATCAAGATCCTGATTATTATCAATATTTCCTAAACCCTATATTTCTTGTTTATTCTTTGTTTGTGCAAAAACAGTTAAAATAATTTTTATTAATATATAATAATCCAATAAAAAAATAATATAGTAAGAAAGAAGTGTCAATTTATCGTCTAAACTAGCCAACAAGATGTCCGATATTTCCGGGATCCTCTATGACTAGCTTCATGATCGTTTTTTGACAAAATATTCCGGGTCTTTAGCATAGTTGAGTTGATTCTTCGTTGAGAATTGGTCTTCCCTCGACTACTTCCGCACACGTGTTAGTCATAGACAAAATATGACCGTTATAAATATTAATAAAAATAATAACGGTAATTAGTCGGGATCCTGAGGTAGCTGAGGATCCTGGATATTTGAGGATCCGAAATATTGTAAGGATCCTAGCCCTAACAGTTGGTAAATTGCCTAAGGTACCATGAGGAAAGGTTTTCATGCTAGCAATGACAAATTATTTCTCAAAATGGATAGAAGTTGAGGCTTTTGTTCAAGTAAGAGATAAGAAGGTAGTCTCATTCATTAAGCGTAACATCCTCACCAGATTCTGGATCCCTGTGGAGATCATATATGACAACGGATCCCAATTCATAAGCAAAAGAACACAAGAATTTTGCACCAGTTGGGGAATCAAAATGATAACATCCACCCCAATTCATCCGTAAGCTAATGGACAATCAGAGTCCAGTAATAAGATCATAGTCAATAACCTGAAAAAGAGATTAGGTGAGAAGAAGGAAATATAGGATGAGGAACTTCCTTTCGTGCTATAAGCAGACACTACTAGAAAAATAGCCTTTTACGACGCGCAATGCGTGTCGTAAAATGCTCAGACGACGCACAAATGCATGTCATAACGAGAGACGACACGCTTTTGCGCGTCGTCTATTTACGACGCGCATTTATGACGCACAATTACGACACGCATTTACGACGCACGTTTACGATATGCATTGCATATCAAGGAAGGCCCTGTCATAAAGGAAGATGGCACACATTTGCGTGTCGTAACCTTACGACGCGCATTTACGACTCGCATTGCGTATCTTTAAAGCCCCCGTCAAGAAAGGCCATGTCATAAATGAAGATGACACACATTTTTGTGATCCTAATTTTATGGTTTAAATAAATATATTTAATAGATTTACTATTTTCAAATTAAATTTGTATTAATGTCTCATAATAGAAAATTAAATATCATATAAAAAAATACAATCCATTGCATAAAATTTAATGTCAATACAATAATCGTTACATGGAAAGATAAAACAAATCAATAGAAGTTGTAACAAAAATTATACAAACTAAATTAGATACAAGAAATAATTAAAAAAAATATACCCTAAAATGCTTTTCAAAGTCTAATCTCCATGTCAGCTCTTCACCTCACTTCTCCAGTTTGTGCTTAGCTTCTCTAAGAGCTCCAACATATCTTGCAGCCTGTGACAACATATTATAAATTTTTAATTACTATTTATTCTTATAATTCAAAGCATTTAGATACAGTTGTATTATATAATACTTTTCTTTTTTACAGAAAATCCACTCACCAGCTTCAACATTCTTAATTCTTTCCTTGCTACCTTTGAGGAAACTCTCTTTACTTGATAACTTTCAGCTGCATTAAGACAAAATACAAATCATTATATTTCTACCTTGTTCTTATTTTTAACCTTTCATTGAATTTCAAAATAAAAATGACAAGATTTTCTTACATTTTCTTATATTGTCTAGGCCTCTCTCATGCAAAATCTTCAAGTGAAAAACGTATCCAGACAAGAAAACATCGACACCTGCTTCATATGGACAATATTTCATTCCATAATCCTTCTCAAGACTAAACACAACTCTATTATTATAGTAAAACAGAAATGTTAAACTTGGACTTAACAACTCTATTATTATACTAAAAACAGAAATGCAAATGGTAACTCCTATATGCACTTCAAATGGTAACTCTTGTATGCACTTATAAGTTCCTATGTTCATATTATTATACTAAAAACATAAATGTTTTATACTTTTATATTTTTTTTAATTCATTGTGTTCTAAAGGCTTTGATCCAATCAATTTCCAGTCTGAATTCACCTGGCCCAGTTTGTCCACCACGTACACCACCTTCATCATTCACAGAGAATAAAATTCCAACAACTCTTGATGGATTAATTTCTATATCCACCTCAATTACATTCGCTCTCCATGTTGGAAGGTAATACGCCAACAGAATCTGCAATTCCATTCCAAAGTTCATCATTAACATCCTAAAATGTTTAACAAAATGCATTGAAAACTTACCTTGCAACAACCTATTGTTTTAGGCACAGACACAAAAGCTTGCCATGAATTTTTGTTCCATTTGTCAGGAGAAGTCACTTAGTTTTCGGTGTAAATCTGAAACAAAAATTATAAAACTATTTATAAAAAAAAATACTCAAAATGTGTTTACATATTTTATATATAGGAAGTAAGAACTTACAGTAGATATATAACTCCTCCCATATCCTCTGATTTTTAGTGTTATGGTATCATAGGGGTCTAAATCGACAAAACCGTCAAACTATAGGGATGATAATTAGAAAGTATATATTGCTGTTATTTGCATTTTAGCCATTAATATTTATTATTAGTAGGCTTCGTTTTCCCATGTTAAAATATGTTTGTTTATGCGAAGTTCTGAAATCTGGTCAAAGAAAAAATTAAGCAAGTCACTTTCAATGGTATAAATCAAGTTTAAAATGTAAAGTTTACCAAATACCAAAATCTCAATATGATAAGGCAAATGCAATAGTCAGAATATTTACTTCAACATGAGGTTGACTTTTGGCATCTGGGTAGGCTTCAGGTGGTCTAGTCGACATTTTTGTGATAATATATTTCTCCAACCCTATTTCTCCCTTCCTCATATCCTCTTGTACCTTTCTGAGTTTGTTGTGTATTACTTCAACAACTTCTTCACATGACCTGTCACTATAAATTATAAAAAAATGAAATTAAAATTAAAATTTTAGAAAGTAATGATGATGATTATTAAGAGAATAAGACATACAGCTCAGATAATATTTGTTCAAGACAGAAATCTCCAGTCTCCTTTGATAACAAACTCCCAGTCATGTCTGTAAAAACTCAAAACTTAAAAACTCAAAACTCAAAAACTCTAGTTTTGTAAACTGTAAAAACTAAAAACTACCTCCTTGATGATATTTCCTGCAATTGATTTGGCTTTATTAATATCATCAAGTCCAGTATATATCATGATTGAATCAGTGTCACCATAAATCACATCAAAGTTTAGGTTGTTGCGAACAAGATCAACAGTGCTTTGTAAAATCTCTCTCCCCTGTAAATAAATAAATAAATAAGTTGTAATACTTTTCCATATATATATTTTCTATTAAAAGATTCATGGTATTCTTTCTTACTTGTAGTGTTATAAGTTCAACAACTTTTATACCAGTTATGTGTTCCAAGCAAAGCACGAAAGGTTTCTCCTTTAAGATCTGAAGGAAGTGGTGGGTCCTGCAATTACAATATATACAACATCAGTAAACACTTAATGAATCTTCTTTGTGAAATGTAGCATGATTAACCTTCTTTGTTAAAGGTGTAAAATACCTTGAATGGATAGCTGATTTTGAGTACATAATTCTCTTTGCGCTCTATGGGATCTTTCAAATGCATAATTCCTCTGAAAACAAAATATAATCATTCAGAAGAAGTTGAATAACAGATGTGAGACATGAGCAAGAAACAGGTTTGTGAAGCTAATTTTATTAAGTAACATACCTTGATAGGTTTCATGCTAAAGTTAGAGACATTTCGGTCAAGCAACTGTTTTTTTATGTTGGCCTTCAGTCCAGATGCCATCTCCTGATTAAATAAAATAAAAAGCATAAACAGACAGTAAATAATAATATAAGCAATATGATGTTGGTAAATTTAAAGAAGAAAAGGGGAAGCAAAGGCAAGAGGTGTATTACATGAAGCTTGGTGTGAAAAGCTTCATAATAACAGAGTCTTCAAATACAGGGCCATTTGGGATAGCATACATGCATCTTTGCATATTCTTCACTACCACACAACAGCTGTGATAAGTACTTCTTTCTTTGACCTTGATTCAAATGAAAGTTATTAAAGATCAAGATCAATCTTTATCTTGGTAAGAATGATAAAATAGTGAGTCTTATACAATTACTCAAGCGTTAGAATACAAATGAACAGGGTCAACTGAGATGTAACTGAATTAGCTAAAATACCTTCCCAAATAGATAGATATTGCTAGCATTAGAACCAGAAAACTCCTCATATGCATCGAGCATGTAGAAAGGAAGAGATCCATCAAGTTCCACCACAAATGGCGGTTTTTCATCAGAATATACACCAGGATCGAGCTCGGCATTCAAATCAGAGCTTATGTTCGTCTGCAATCCTGTTATTGCACTGAAAGCTGGATCCTTTTATGTGACAACCCGAAATTTCCAAGCTTGTTTAATTAATTTAAACCTATCAGTGTTAGACTCATTTGGCTTCCAGTTATCACTGTTTGGAACCTGTTTTGAGTGTTCTAACCATAGTACATCAAAGGAATAAGAGATTGGGAATAGCAGCTTAAGTTCTTAATTGCCTGCAACCGTAAACCTCCTCAAAAAGGGAGTTTACGGTCAAGACCAATGAGTTTACGGTCATGGTGACCGTAAACCCATCCCTATATATATGGAGGGTGATCACTTCAGCCATTCTTTTCCCTCCTTCAAGCCTTAGAACCGATTCTCTCTCAAAAATCATAAACTCTTGCTTCCAAATCTTCAAGAACAAGTAAGTGATTCCTTCTTTGTGTGTTAGATCCTTCCTAAAATCCATGTTTCACTCTTGATTCATCCAAGAGTTTCATCTTTTATCTATATCATCAAAGATCCTCAAGAACACAGTTGTGTTTTGGACCGAAAACACCTTCTCTGCCTTCAAAACCGTAAGTATCATCTTCCCTTTCATGAATCTAGTTACAATCCTTCCCTTTCATGAATCTAGTCAAACTCATGTCTATAAATATATATTTATATAAGTAAGATTTGAAGGACTTAGGACTGATAGCTCACTTTATTTCCAGTTCCTTGTTTGGTTGTGGACTTAGAGTACCCTGTTATTTGTCCGAATATCGTCGAAATCTTAGTTATATATTATATATATGTGTTTAGATATAAAAGCTTTTACTTCAGTTCAATACCTTTGGGGTAGCAAAGGCATACAAACAACATTACTAGTAAACTATAATAGGTATAGTTTAAGAGATTTCTACTCACTATGATTAGTACAATGAAACATACAACAGTCAGTTCATTTATGAGTCGATAGAAACCTACTGTTATGAGAAACAATACACACTACACCCTATACAAGAGAACATACTACACACTATACAAGAGAACATACTATACACTATACAAGAGAATATACTATACATTAGTACAGAGAGAACATTACTACGCTATGACTTACTATACAAACATTGTTATACGATAATTTAAATGTGAAATACTACTTCATGATACAACAATACATTGTTGTATCACTTTGTAACCAGAGTCTCCTGGAGGGAGAGCGGACATCGTGTGTATAGATCTATACGGGACAGAAACTCCCACACCCCGACTGCTAGCTACAGTCCCAGCCGGTAAGGCCAAGGGGTGAAAAAATGTCACCTCACTATTTTATGACGCCAGAAGGTCGTCAAGTATTCAGCGATCAGCATGGTTACAAACTAATTCACATCTAAACCTTTAATTAACAATAAAAGGCAATAGGACTCATTAAGGAGTATGGTACATTTAATACGACCTCGAGTCTTCATTTTTATCATTTAATAGTCAGTAGTATCACTGCTGAGGTAGAACATACTATTTTCCTAGTAGAGAATAGAAATGATTGGGAGAAAACATACTTTCGCATAGTAACAAAGTACTACTATATTTTTCCCACTATTACAAATACATATACAAACATTACGTTTTTTTATACAAGAACAAACATGTAAAACAGTCGGGCCTCGAGTAGAAGGCTACATTAATTACAAGCAGGAAATATAGGATTTTCTGGGAAAACTTTACAAATTTTTCAGGGTTTTAATACAAACATATTGTGGCTTTTAAATACTAAATGACACTAAATACTTATGAACTCACCAGCATTTTATGCTAATACTCTCTTTCAAAATAACTTGTATTCTCAGGGAACCAGTAAGACAGGTACACCCATGCAGCTTTTGAAGGACGGAGTGGATCCAAGACTCGTCTTATTTTGATTGTACATTTTTGGTGTCATTTAAACTTACAAAAGAACACACATGCATTTAACTATTATATTAATGCAATGGATGCTGTTGCTTGTTTTTACTATTGTGCATTGTTATGATACTGTACATGACGTCTTCCACTCCAGAACGTTTCCGCCGTTCCGGTTTTGGGGTGTGACAGATTGGTATCAGAGCATTGTTTATAGTGAATCGAGTATATCAACCCATAAAAGATATGCAAACTATAAACGCAACGGGATTAATATACTCTGACCAAGAGTTTATACTTTTAAATAATAAAATATTTCACTAAGTATACATACCTGCATTCATACTAAAATCAGTGTCAATAGGACAAAACAAAAGTATTACGATTGTTGAACAACATGATTAGGCTTAGAGATATATAGTCAAACCTGGGAGGATATAGCCTGATCAACTATATTTTCCGAGGAATGACTAGCATGTGCCTAAGAATGGTTGTGGTGTTGCAACAAGTCTAAAAACTTACCAACGCTACTACCACGAGAACATTAGAACAGAACATAAACCTAAAATACTATATGAGTATTTTGTGTTACTATAATTACTTATTTGAGAACTAAAAAGGTCTTTACTAGTAGGTCAACAGTTGCTAAGTGGATACGCTAAGGTTATATGTGACTAAGGTATTATAGACTTAGAATATGTGACCATTTCTTTACTTCATGTTCCTTGTTTGGTTGTGGATTTAGAGTTAGGGTCACTTATTTGAAGGTCTATCCTGTTTTGGTTGCATATGGCTGGTATGCACTACGCAAATGTTGGAGTAACTAGTAAGGATCATCCTATAATTATCTTAATTAGTGTGTCTATTAACTATCTTAATTAATCCGTATTTTCCCAACCAAGGCAATGGTGGGTGGCTCGATGATGAGCCAGAAGAGGATCATCCAATCCCTTTGGATGATCACCTCACAGAAGGCTTTTCGGATGGCTCTGACTCCGAACCAGAAGTCAACAACCTACCTCAAGGGGTTCAAGTCCCAAACCTCAACCCCCGACCGACATTTCAAGGCCCCACACCCTTGTGGGCGACAAACTTGAACCGTTGGAGCGATGAACAGGGTCAACCATTACCCTTCAATGGAGATCGAAGCTTCTACAACCTAAGCGAGGGACGATCAGCTGACCGAGCCCCTACCCATTATGGTCCGCAGGATTGCTCGAAATGTGGAGCAAGTTCGAGCAGCTATCGACCGAATCATGGAAATTGACGCCAACTCTGGCATTAACACGGTCCGCATTCGCCAACTCGAAGAGGCTATGGAAAGGACTAGGAGAACCAATGAGGCTCTGCAGCAACAACTGGCTGCATCCCGAGCCGAATTCATGGAACTTCGTGTGCGTCAGAGGGCGCATGAGCGACAGCTTCAAGAAGTTGTACGTCAACTGGCAGATCTGAGGGTTCGCTTGAGGGATACCCGTCGTCGGTAGAAGATGCCTAGCTCATCTTTCTTTTGATCTAAGGAATAGCCTTTCTTGTCAATGCTCTAAGTAGCACTCTTATGTAAAATATTACTATCTTTCAAGTACTCTAACTAGACTTCTAAGCTGTCAACATTTTCCTTATATGGTTTGATGTAAGACCTACTATTAGGTCATTTTTCCCGAACTCATTTACATCATTAATACCAGTAGTATTGACAGTTAGCTAATCTATTGGAAAGTCTTTACTCTTGCGTTTCCTACTCTATTGTGGTGTCTCTATTTCAATCATACACTCATTCTAGTAGTTGGACTATGGCGATTAGCCCACGGATCACTTCTCATCATACATACAATTGATTCTTACTATTATCACCATCTCTATGATTTTTCAGTAAAAGATGCCGCCCCGCAAGCGTCCGACCAGAGGCACGCCTGTAAATGAAACTCCACCACCACCACCTCCACCGCAGTTTGATGCGGTGATGTTTCAGGCTGTTGTGACCGTAGCTGTGGCCGCAGCCATGACTCAAGTAAATTTTGGTGGTGCCAGTGGGGCTGGAACGGGCACCAACTCTAACCATGGTGAAATCCAACCGCATACACGAGAGTGTACCTATAAAGACTTCATCAATTGCAAACCAGTGTTCTTCAACGGAACCAGAGGGATCATGGCGCTGTCCCAAAGGATCGAAAGAACAGAAGCAGTCTTTGAGATGTGCTCTTGTCCTGAAGGAAGCAAGATAAAATTTGATGCATGCACCTTCACTAAAAGGGCCCTGACATGGTGGAATGGCCATGTCAAATCACTCTCACTGGTAGCGGCTAACGTCATGGGCTGGGAGACACTGAAGGATCTGATGGCAAAGGAGTACTGCCCGAGGGGCGAGATTCAGAAACTCGAGGAGGAACTATGGAACCTTAAGATGAAAGGGTTCCAACATAGTGGCTTATACATCCAGATTCAGTGACCTAGTAACCCTATGTCCCAACATGGTCCCCACCGAAAGCAAGAAAATCGATAGATACATCTAGGGTTTGGTACCCCTGTATCAAGGAAACGTCCTAGCATCGAACCCTGCAACCTTTGATAGCGCCAAGGAATTGGCCCAAAAGCTTATCGATCACGAGGTTCCTTCTCCTCCAACAACAACTACAACTGTTGTCTTAGCACCAACCAAAGCGGCCGACAACAAGAGAAAGCATTGGGACCAAAAGAAGGGTAAATCAGCTCAATCCTCTTCCAAGAACCATTAGGTTGTGGTTGTCCGTGCTGCCACAACTCCAGTTGCCCCTGTACCAGCAAAGCCATATGCAATACCCAAGTGCACTAAGTGCAATTTCCATCACAATGGCCCCTGCCGAGAACTGCACTGCACCAACTGCGACCGGAAGGGCCATACTATCCGGTTTTGCAAAGCACCACCCAAACCCGTCACCCAGGTCCTTGGGTACAGGAGTAAGCCAGGCCTGCCACAGGTGTGGCGAGACAAGGCATTTCAAAAGAAACTGTCCTAAAGCTGGGAATGCGGGAGGAGCAGGGAGACTACATGCTATTGGCCACAATGAAGCAGTGGCAGACCCCATGGTAGTCACAGGTACGTTCTGTTGGATTAGTGACTAAGCCCGTAACTATATTTGGTAAGTACTTGACCCGATTGTGCATGGTCCTTTTGGGTTGCCTTCACCATAGCAACTTGACATGGTGATTTGTATAGAGAGAAAAGTATTTTTATATTAATATGTTATAAGAATAATATATTAAAGGGATAATAATATTATTTAATTAATATTAGTCATAAATTAATTATGAATT